GCAGAGCATTGTGGGTGGTTTAAGGGCAGCCTGTCATGGTACCATGAGGTAGAAAAGCCATGAGCAGGAGAGGAGAGTTGGAGGCTGTGTAGGGAGACCCACAGGCTTCTTCTCCTCTACAGCCCAGAAATGCCCTGCTAAGAGTAACCAAGCCCAGGGAGTTCTCCACCTAGCCCATAGCTCAGGAGATACCTCAGCCAAGACCCAGCTTCTGTCCCTGTCACACGTTCCAACCTCCCCTCTCCCATGACAACCTGCTCCAAGAGCCTGCAGGAGACAAAGGTGTAGGTGTTCACTGAGAAATCCGTAACAAGAACAAGGATGTGGCAGAAGAGAAAGGGCATCAGACTCACCTTATTCCCAAGGAGGTGGAGGCAAGAGGAGTGGATGAGAGAGTGAGGAGAACAGCTCGCTTTTATACTGCTCCTGCACTGCCCCAGGCCCACAGTCACTGCACGCGGGCGGTAATTTTCCAGCAGACTCACCTCCAGAACAAAATATCCTCCCTAATGGCACAGGTGGTTTTTTGGTTTCAGTCAACGCTGCCATTTCATTTCCTCATTTCTGACATGCTTGGTCTGCCATGCAGGCTCCTGTCATGTGCCACGATGAGAGGCCAGAGGGTATTCTGGTCAGAAGTGTGTCAATTTGGGGAGAAGGTGCCTCCAAAGTGGTGGATGGTTCCCATGCAGGCAGGGGATGTTGGCTTAGGGCAGTGAAGTGGGATTGTTTGCAAGTTTTCTTGGATTTGGTCTTTACTGGCATGTAGGGCTTTTGAGAGATCAGGCTTGTGACATTTCTTGGAAAATCTGGAGCAGGGAAGTCTTACCCACAGTAGAGGAGGATCATGTCTGGGAACATTTAAGTAGACAGCACTGACATGAGTGCATGCTACCACATGCCGTGCACCCGAGGGAATTGGTTGGTGACCAAGGGTTGTGATGAGTGAGACAAAGTTCTGTTGGCAGACACTGCTGGTGCATGGCAGGGTCCAGACTGGGACCAACAGCATTTCAGCCCTTTATGCAAAGACCTGCATGGAGGGAGGGAAGAAGAATTTTGTGCACCACTAGATGCTGGGGCTGATGGGCTGGCAAAGAGCCTTGCAGCAGAGGAATGATGGTCCTAAAGGAAACCATGAGGCAACCTACACACTTGTGAAAATGGCATCTGATGGCATCCTGGGCTGTATGAGGAAGAGATTTACTATCAGATCGTAAAAGACGTTCCCTCTTCTTTGCTGAACACTACTCAGAGTACAACTGCTGTCCAGTTCATGGCTCCTCAGTAGGAGAGATGCATGATGATTCTGACACAAGTCCAGCAAAGGGCCATGGATCCCATGAAGTGAGTGCAGCCCCTGAGGCAGGAGGGGCTGCGAGAGGTCAAGGTCAAAAGACAGCTTCCTGAAGGTGGAAGGGGGGGTGAGCTGCATACGAGGGATCTGGAAAGAATTCCGAGGGATGCTGTTAGGGAAGCCAAAGCTCTGCCTATGTTGAGTCTTCAAGGAATATTAAGAGCAACAGGCAACAAAGCATCAAGAGCAAGATGGACCCCTAGTAGTCAAAGAGTGATGGAGGAAAATATGGGCCCACTGCTGGTTTCCTGAAAGTGGCCAGAGAGCAGACTGGGGGCAGGTAATGTCTTGAATCTCTTACTCTCTACCTACATGGTCTCTCAGGGTGCTGTGCCCTCTGCAAGAGTTAAAGGAAGGAGGCAGAGCCTTCCCACCAGTGAGTGGGCTTCAAATCAAGGACTGCCTGAGAAAAATTAAGTGGTATAATCTGATTTGCTCCAGGGCAGGCCTACTGTAAAGGAAGACGTAGACCTGGTGGACGATTGAGCCCACAGGAGCCTCCTGGCATTCAAGAAGGAGAAATGTCAAGTCCTGCACCTGAAAATGAGGAACCTCCTCTGGGTAGCTCTGCCTGCAGGTGCAGGGTCAACCTTAGGAGAGACTTGGATGTTGCAAAGAAACAGATGCACAGGTCTCACATTCCAGGACAAACAGACCAGGGTGTGGTGAGGAGCTCTCCTGTATGCTCTGTGGAAGAAAGGAAAGGGTTGCAGAAAACATACCTCCACCATCCAGGACTTAACGCAGGGTCTCAGGCGACATGTCTCCTTTCATTAGTGCTGCATCATGCCTGCTTTCCCATGGCCCAGAGGCCTCCAAAAGCATTGGAGAGGCAACAAAACTTTCCCCAAGGCCCAAAGGATTGAGGGCTGGAAGGACCATGCAGTGTCCCATAAGTGGGAATTCTCAGGGAGGAGATGTGCTCAGAAGACCCCCGGGAACAAAACTATCTCTCAGACTGCATTAAGGACGTCATACAAGTCTCTGCCCTGTGGACATGGAGGAAGCTGAGATGCATCCCAGGAGGGCAGGGGAATGTGTACAGCAAACAAGCTTCCTGGGATAGACTCTCCCTGCCCATGGCGAGTCACACTCGTATTTTGGATTGACCTTGTGTCAGCTTTTTGGCATGAGGTCAAGGCAGGAGTGCGTGCTGTCTGTAGGCCCATGGTGTCCCACTTAGAGATGAATTCCCCTCCAGCCAGGGCTGTTCCATCCCCACCCAGGGAAAACCATCTTTGAGCACTGGGCTGTGCCCAGACACACAGCTCCAGGCAGCCCCAGTGACCATTGCCCTCAGCCTGACCTTCTTGTCAACTCTGTCAGAGCTCAGGGGAGGTTGCAGGATGGATGGTCAGTGTGTTTGGAAAAGTGGGCAGGCCTTTGTGTCTCCTGCAGGTCAAGGTCCAAAGTATGTGGCCAAAGTGCACGGTAATGTGAGGAGAGTGGAAAGGAGAAGGCACTGTCCCAACACTCCCCAACGTACCCCTACGGTAGTTAGAGGGGAGGACCCCAACTCCACAGGGTTTGTTGAGTAATCAGGGGTTTTGGGAGGACAATGTTCTCCTTCTGCAAGCCTGCTGACTGCACCGGTTGGGACCCCCAGAGACCACCACAAGAGGGGATGACTTTGCTGAAGAAACCTGCAAAGGTTTTCCCAGAAGGAGAAGCTTTCCTTTGGCAAAGGCATTTGAAACCAGTAGCACAGCCCACCTGTGTATAGAGGCAATGAGCAGTGACCAATGTCACAAGCAGGGAGATGAGCAGGGAGGGAGAAGGATGCAGCGTGTGTACATTTGGAGAAGTCTCTGGGTACTCAGGAGAGAACTGTGTTGGTGGGAAGACATGCACTCCTTCCTGCACAGGGTTTTGAAAACAACCTCACCATATTTCCTGAGATCAATGTTCTCTATCTGCACAGGTCCCTTCAGCACTCGGGGACACATCTTCTGCCTGTACTGACATCATCCTCCTCAGGAAATCCTTGTACCACTTGTCCAAATACTTCAAAAGAGCCTCTGTGGTCCAATGGTCATGTCAGAAATGAGGAAATGAAATGACAGTGTTGATGGAAACTCAAACACAACCTGTGCCAGTAGAGAGGATATTTTGTTCTAGAGGTGAGTCTGCTGGAAAATTACTGCCCGCGTGCAGTGACTGTGGGCCTGGGGCAGTGCAGGAGCAGTATAAAAGTGAGTTGTTCTCCTCACTCTCTCATCCACTCCTCTTGCCTCCATCTCCTTGGGAACAAGGTGAGTTTGGAGCACTTTCTTGCCTTCCCCTTCCTCACCCTCATCTTCTCCCTCCACTCCTCAGGTTTTTCTCAGCACATATCTACTTCTTTTTCCTCTGCTGGGTCTTGAGTTTGCTTGCCATAGGAGAGGAAAAAAAACAGAAAGTGTGGCATGGAGAGAGGTTGGAGCTTGGTTGAGGTGTCTTCTGAGCTCTTGGCTAGGTGGAGACCTCCCTGGGTTTGATCACTCTTGGTGCGGTTCTTTTAGACTGAGGGAAAATATCTTCCTCGCTGTGGGTAACACACTGCTCTTTAACCACTCCTCATGCTTTTTTTCCCCCTGTCCTCTCTCGCAGGTGCACCTCCAGACACTAGACATGTCCTGCTACAACCAGTGCCTGCCATGCCGGCCCTGTGGCCCAACCCCACTGGCCAACAGCTGCAATGAGCCCTGTGTCCAGCGGTGCCAGGACTCCACTGTCGTCATCGAGCCCCCTGCTGTGGTGGTGACCCTGCCCGGACCCATCCTCAGCTCCTTCCCACAGAGCACCGCCGTGGGATCCTCCACCTCTGCTGCTGTTGGCAGCATCCTCAGCTCTGAGGGAGTGCCCATCAACTCTGGGGGCTTTGGCCTCCCCGGCTTCGGCAGTGGCATCTGTGGCAGGAGGTGCTTCCCCTGCTAAAGCTGCTGTCTGCACCGAGGCCTCCACTTGCATCAACCTCCTTTCCCTCTTTTGACTCATTAAAGTTCTGCTGCATCCCAGCCTGATCCTCTGTCCCATCCTTTCCTCTGCACGTGCAACATGACCTGGCAGAGAGATTATGCTCAAGGGTGTTTGTGGTGGAGGGTGGTTCATTTGGTTCACTTTGACTATGCTTTGTCATGCAAAGAGTGCTCCTACAGTTCCCAAATTTCCCTGCCTCTTTGGTTCCATCCTAACCAGAGCTTTCTCAAGGGGACAGACACAGTACACTGGGCTGCCTTATCATAGAACCCTGTTATCATTTAATCATGGAAAGATAGGGACTGGAAGTGAACTTAAAGATAATGTAGTCCAAGCCTTGCTCCTATGGTCAGGGATATCTAACTCTGCATCACCTTACTTAAAGCTCCATCAAATCTGACCTTGAACACTTCCAGTATGGGGCATCCCATCATTCTCTTGGTAACATTTTTCAGTCTCTTACAGGCTTTGAGCCTTATCTTTTCCAGGCTGAAAATCCTCAAAGGCCTTTCTTCATTGCAGGGGTGATTCAGCCCTTCTTGTACTCCTTATCTGGACCTGCTCTAACAGGCCCATTTCTTCCTTGTACTGAGGACCCCAGTAGTACTGTTAAGTGGACTCTAACAAGAGCAGAATAGAAGCAGAGAATCACCTGCCTCGACCTGCTGGACACGCTTCTTTTGATACAACCCAGGATACAACTGGCTTTCTGGGCTGCCAGCTCATGTCCAATTTTTCAACTACCAGTATCCCAGAGTCCTTCTTTTAACAGCTGCTCTCAACAATTCATCCTCCAGGCTTCATTGTGTGAACCCAGGTGCAGGCCATTGTACTTGGCCTCCTTGAAGTTCCTGAGTTTCACGTGGAACCATCCCTTAAGCCTCTCAAGACTCCTCTGGGTTGCATCACTTCCCTCAAGTGTATCAGTTGCACCTCTCACCTTCCTCTCATGCATAAACTTGCTGAGGATGCACTAAATTCCACTTTCTATGTCATTGATGAATACATGAACAGGTATTGGTCCCAGTACAGGCACCTGAAGGACACCACTCATCACTGGTTTCCACTTGGACATTGAGACATTGACTCTAAGTCTTTGGACACAACCAAAGTGCTCTTTGGGCAGTGTCACTTGAAGGGAAGGAAGGCATCCATGACTGCACCAGAGCCACTGCCCATTGGGCCAACCTTTGCTGAGCCTCTTCCTTCATGTTCCCTCTTGGCCACGGTGCACGTGCTGTGGAAGGGACACATGGG